GCAAGGCAGAGAGAGTATACGTTATACGTTGTCATCATTAAGTCTCACTTATTTGCTTAATGATGATGCTGGTAGAAATGCAAGTATAATCCTTGGTTAATGATATACTTTATCTGATAATCCTGCCTGATAAAGATTCCCTGAGGAATATTCCTTAATCCCCACGATCAACAAGGAGGTTTTAGAGGTTGTCTTCATTCTCTCTTGTCAAGAGTGTCTGGCTTTTTGAACATGTGAAGCAGACCAGGCCTTGTATGGGGCGGTTGGGTAATGGTTTGATAAATGTTATACGTTATGGTAAATGCAGCTGGGTGGTCACGTCCCTGCTGTGGTTCATTTAGACTTCAGGATGACATCAAATCAAAAACAGCAATGAGGGGACTGGAAACTGGAAAATGATCGAAAAGGTTGTTTTGGACATGAACACGTCCTCTGCTACCTCCCGTATGAGTTTCATGTTCGGAATTAAGCTCCAAAAATCTTTTCACCATTAAAATTAAAGATCACCTTTCTCCGAAATAGGCTGTCAAGCATCCAACTTATTTAATTATCAGGAGTGGAGAAGACAGTGAGCAGTGTTTGCTGCTGAATGCATTGCTCTCACGTTTCAACGAGCGGGCTTGCTCTCTTGTCTGTGAAAACATCATGAGAGTCATTCGGTCGCAGGGGGCAGCATCTTGTAGGCTTCAGGAGACAGACTGGGAAGTAGCTCTCTCCCCGTAGTATTTAAAGCCCTATTGCAGTGGTGAGGAAGAGCATCCAGTTTGCCCAGCTCGTCAGCAGCATCACACAAACACAGTAAGTACACAGCATCTTTGGCTCCGTCTTTAACTATTGAACTTTATAATCTCATCAAAAAGACCAATGGAAATGTTAGGGCTAGTTTGGATGCTTACAAATGTTTTCATTGAGGAAAATGTGTTTTATTTGAAAGTTTCAGCTGGTGTGTCACTTAAAAATGTAAACTTAACCAAACAGTATTTGATGTTTGACATCCAACAAGTGTGCACACTGAATACAGCAACATACTTCCTCATTTTATATTTTCCTTATTTATTTGAGATAATCATTTGATTTATAAAGTTTTGCATTAAGTTTGATAATCACTGTGTTTTAAGTTCCCTGATCATAAGTATGATTATATGTCTAATAGCTGTGCCTCTTTAAATTCGATTTTTGTCATTTTGCTAGAAAAATTGTTTCTTCATTAGAAATCAATCTATTATTACAAATGACAGGTCATTGAAAGTGTTCTGAGTTAATTATGCTTCTCAATTAAATTCTCACCGCAGACATGTTTTCATATGAATGAGTAATACCACTGTATGTTCTTAAACGATAAAATAAATGAGATAAAAGCACATGCATGTGAGGATGTCACAATTAAATGAGATTTCAACGTCTGCTTGTTTCTCAGCTGTGGAAATCTGTTTACCGTGTGTCCATTAGTGCACTTCCTGCACACTCGGCTTCTGCAAACAGATCAGTTGCAGGCTCATTGACACAGGCCAGTGACAATTATTTACCACTGATGCTCGGAAATGAGGAATAAGCAGGGAGGGTCTCACATACGTTGGGTCATTATTGAATTCACATAATTAGAGGCAAATGAGGCAGTGGTGTAAACTTCCTTTGGTCATATATGGTTCCACACAGGATGTGAGATATGAGGTGCAGATGACAGGTGCAGTGGATGAATTCATTGTGGTCACGACTTAAGTATTTAATGACTGATGGATCATAATGGAATAAATTATTATGTATCTTATTACAAACAAAATATATTGTCTTGCATTTGTGAGTCTTCCTCAGGAGAAAAGTAATTTTCTTAATTTTTATGTTGTGCACATTAAAAACATGGGTTTTTAGGACACCTATGGCAAGTTGCAATTATTTTTCTGCTGATGAGTAAAAACATTCTACCCTCTTTCCCAAACCTTGCAAATAAAATTTGCTAATGCAAAACTTCCTTTCCTGAAGCACAACTTCAAAATCCTCCATCCAATAGAAATCAGCACAAATTGAGGAAATCTCATACCCAGGACAGCAAAGCAAAAAAGTGAAACAAGTTATTAGAATAGAGGTATTGTTTATGAGACAATAAGATTGTTATTTTGATTTATATCATGTATCAAAATACCATATTGCTTCTAATCTCTGTGATTTGTTTTTGTGTATCTACCACACAGCTGTTGCCTGAGGTGAAGTCGACTGAAGCCCACATGTTCTAGTAAGAGCTCGTTTTTGCCTTGTGGTTGTTTTGCTTCATTTGCATGTTAGAACAATCCATTACTAATCTGCAGAGCTGCCTGACAAGAGGTGAATTAAATCAATTGCCATGGTGACCATGGTTCTTAATGGTTAAAGTTAATTATTGATCTCTAGTCTGGAGATCGGAGATCAGAGTCACGCTGCTAACCTTAAAGGAGCCAATAAAAGCCTCTCTGTTTAGAAGTGGTGTTTGAGCACAGTTGTACAGAAATGTGATTTAAATCAAAAGTTAGGAACAGGAACAGAAAATAATTTCCTCAAAATGTGACTCCCGACATTGCCGCTGTTTTGACCTGAGAAACAATTTCGATCAATCACAGTGTACACCGAAAGGAAAGCGCTGTTGCATAAGGTCGAGAGAATTTTCCGACATAAATGCACCGTGGTAATTTGCCCACCTAAAAAATGTCACATGCCTTTTGGCCTTATGAATGTGACCGAGGGACCTTGTGTGCGACACAAATTACAAGGTCTCTCTCAGTCCTCACACAGGATCAAGCAAGGACACCTGGGACAGATTCAAACACGCTGCCCCCCAGCTGTGACGAACATAATTGCTTTCTTCAAACAGAGGGGCTCCAACCTCCAAATACTCTGCAGATCTGAATGCCCTTCTGGATAGAGTCAAAGTCATCTGTACCCACACCCCCTCATGGGATACACTCCTCGAGAGGAGTCTATGGTTTAAGGCGTCATCTGCCCTCTCTGGCAAACAACACTTTATGTTTCCTTCGTGTGGGCTCAGTTGCTGTACAGGACTTAATTGAAACTATGGTGCATGCTTGTGTGTGTGTACATGTTTGCGTCTAGACACGTGTCACTGTCGTCACTCTACACGGGGGCTTGTCTCCGTGGAGGCTCTGTTGAATGATGAACTTAAACAGGGAGGTGACCCGACAGAACAGCTCGTATTCGTATGTGATAGAAGAAGACGATCCAGCCCTGGCAAGCCGAAACGTATTTGAGGTGAAACTGACATCAAGCTGTATGAAAAACTCTAACAACTAACTAACCAACAACTAATTGACATTTTAAGATGTGATTTATTTCTTCTGCAAGTCTGCACAATGTAAGTTATGTAACACTCTATCACTAATCCCAGTTCTGTGAAACTTTAAAGCAAGTCATTGTGAAGAGCTGAATAGAGACCTGATTGTATAATAATGTTACGTGAGGGAAAAATGTACAAATATCTCTTATATCATCTATTACATCAGAAACCACACAATGGCCATTGTTAAAATATCTGTCTGCCCACGTGGATAGACGTCTTTTCCACTTCTCTCCTCTATTATGTTCAAGTTGGCCGTGAAGGGTGAGCTCGCTCTCCTGCAGAACCTGGTGAGGAAGAGCCCAAAGGTCCTGAGTGAGAGAGATGAATACGGAGCGAGTACCCTTCATCACGCTGCCGCAGGGGGCCACGTCACCCTCATCCAATTCATCACCACTGTCATAGACTCACAGGGTAAGCATGCCTCAGTCATCGATCATAAGGTGCACTCCAGCACAGGTGAAATATGTGGATTGTGAATCACCATAATCATGCCTCTAAGTTACTGTATCGAATGAAGTGTTTGATTTGTATCTGGCATGTGTAAATCTTTATGTATTCACATTTGTGTGTGTGTTTGTGTGTTCGTGCATCCTCTCCAAGAGCTGAACAGCTGTGATGAGCAGGGCAACGTGCCCCTACACTGGGCAGTGGAGCAGAACAAGGCGGAGAGCTGCAGGGCTCTTATGGACCTGGGGGCCAACCCCAACATCCTCAACACAGCCCTCCTGTCCCCTCTGCACCTGGCTGTCAACCGTGGACACAACAACCTGGTGGAGGTGAACAGGCCAAAAGCGTTCAAGTGAAATAAAGGTTTTCTGAGTGATAGCAAGGTCATTGCAGAGGTGTTTTGCACAGCGGTTGCACCAGTCATGTTAAAATATGTGACATACACAGTACACTTACACATCATAATGTGCAGATCATAGACCGTATATAAAGATGGTCCAAGTCACAGTCTGTTAATCAGTACTTTTCACATTTACAGCCACAAATAACTAATAAAAACCAAAGTTAATGGACAAACTTGAATTTGAACAAACATAAGTGCGATAAAAAAAAACTACCACTTCCTCTAAAATCACAAAATTTACTAGACATGTTTTTTGACTTCGTAGTTTGGTCAATGTCATATCCTGTACTGTGGAGGAAGCAGGGCTCATCACCAATACAGCAGCCAGCCACCAGGGGGCGATCAAGAAACTTTAGCTTCATTTTTTGAGGAACTGTCATGTCATCCATCTTTATTATGGTATGGATATGAAAATCACATTTTCCCCACTGACTTTTACAAACCAAGCTCTCTCTGATCCCATCATAACAAAAGGTTGTCTTGGTTGTGGGAAAAGGAGAAAGATAGTAGCCTTGAAATCTTTCTATTATCATCTTTGAAACCACATGAACTTGTCATTGCATGCAGCCATTGTTTTCTAAAGTCATCTGATAACTCTTTACATAACTGACAAAAACTGAACTTTGAAAGACTTTGTAATGTCACCCCCATAGCATTTGGCTGTTGTCCACAAAGTGACACAGGTTGCAGTATGGTTGAAGAGGAAGGACGCACATATGCATACACACTGTTAAGTCTTTATCTCTGCCCCCTCCAGCTGCTGGTGTCTTACAGTGCCACAGACTGTAATCTGGAGGGAGACCTTGGGAACAACCCAGTGATACTGGCCAGCTCTATCAATAACTGTGAGGCTCTAAGCATATTGGTATGTACAATGTTTTTTTGTTCAATTGTGTTGTACCTTCACCAGTCTTTAAAAGAAAACTGCCCGTCAGTACAGAACAGATTACTTAGCTTTGCTTTAAACTGACAGTCACTCCACTGCAGCTTTGTCTCTGACAAAGAATTGTCTTTGTTTGTCTACCTCCCCATCAATTCCCCAATCTGTCAAAGTTAAAGCATGGAGGGCGGCTCTGCCAACAGAACAAGCTCGGGCATTTTCCTATCCACGCAGCTGCCTTCGCAGGTGCAAAGAAAGCCATGGAAGTGATCCTGAAGGCCGGTAGGACACAACAAATGATCTATCATCAAAAGCTGAAAGTGCTGACAATAATGAAAAAGTTTTCACAAGGCCGAACTGCACATTAGGCTGATAGATAACAATAGAGTTCACCTCAGCCTGCACAGACAAATTCTCATGGCACTTTGTCTACAGGCCAGATGCCACAGATTGACAGTGGGTTTATCCATGGTGGGAAGTCCGCTGGGTAAATCTTGTGGTTTGGAGAAAGGCTAAGTCAGGGGACAAAATGTTTATGATGACTCTGCTATTGTATTGCAAGAGAATTAATGGTTTCTTTTTACAGTTTGTGAAATCACACAGAAGCTCAGCAAGAACGGATTCCATTGCTCATTACTTCCTTTTATTAAAAAAGAAAACAAAGAACCTAAATGTTATTTTCAAGTTAAAAAAAAGGGGGTCCTGCAATTGAAATTCCCTTGAGAGCTTGTTAGCAATACAAACAAATATGCTTATACCAACAAGCATTAACTACAGTATTTATAATTAAGAAACTGTTTCTTTATTCCCTGTAGGAGAGGAGTTGGGTCACTCAACTGTTGTTCACATCAACTATTTAGACAAGTCAAAGAGTAGTCCCCTCCATCTGGCTGTTCGTGGTGGGAATATTGAAGCCATCCGCCTCTGCATTGCCACTGGGGCCAGAGTTGACCAGCAACAGGTACTGACATCACTCCGTTCGGAGTTTCCGTTCGGTTTCCTCCTGCGTAAATTTTGGCTACATCCATACTACTACGTTTTTATTTGAAAATGCATCAAGTATGTTTACAGATACACCAAGTGTCTGCACTACCTTGCAGTTTTAGAGCCACTAAAAAAGAGAGGTTTGGAAACACTGCTGTCCCCATTTTAGTCTGGACTAGCAGAAACTGAGACATTTGGAAACAATGAAGTTGCTGATTAGGTATTTCAGTCAAAATGTAGCCTACGGAACCAAATGCCTCCTATGTACATTGGCATGCACGTGCCCAGGGCACACAAGTGTTCACATGATTTACTTGTTCAGGCATGCTAGTGTGGTCGGGGATTAAAACTGATATGACGCCAAAACGCTTGTGTGACTTAATTTAGTTTTATACTAAAACATTATGAACATTATGGCAGTATGAATGTAGCCTTAGACTACTCATTCAACTTTAAATAAGCAGAAATGATTTTTTTTATGTGTTTGGTAATATTATTAATGTTTTTACCACCTGCATCAGTCATAAATATACACAATATATTCACCTGGAAGCTATGGACTCATGATTATTCCATGCTATGTCAGATTTGCATTGCTTTCGAATCTCAAAGTCATTTGCCTACACCTGCGAAGGCAAATGACACATGTATAGGCAGATGTTTTCCCTGGCAAAGGGGTTCAGCCTCAAACATCAGTCTCATCAGGCCCATCTGGGAGTGATCGTTGTGTTTTGCCCTGGGCTAGTGCCCAGGGCGACAGCAGGAATAGTGAGTACTGTAATAGCTTCAGTTGCCCAAATTGATACAAATTACCTCCATTTACACTGTGGAACCGAGAGGAGCGATCACTGGCCTCCTTCTGCCTGTCCTGGTTATCTCATTAAAGGCTTGTGTTACAGTCCCCAGTGTTCAGCCAGCAAGTCTAGGAGATACTTTGCTAATGCTAATACACATGGGGGAAGTGTACTTGTACACAAGAGCCTGTGTGCATACTAATTTGAGTGTGTTTATGTTCTTCTCTGTCCAACTCAGTATGTCACTGTGTCGCCATATAGAGCAGACACAAGCATGTTTGAGGAACTTGTGAATATTCATAACTCATAACACTGCCATGTCCGATGCTTTGCAGAATGACAGGTCCACACCGCTGCACTTTGCCTGTACCCAGGGTGCGACTGAGGTAGTCAAACTGATGCTCTCCTCATTCGACCAAGTGGAAGACATCATCAATCTAACTGATGGGGCATGTCAGACCCCTCTGCACAGGTGGGCTTAACCTATCCCTCCATCACTGGGACTAATTCATTAATCACGCTTATGGTGGTCCAATGCTCGTGTTTATACCTAAACTCTGGGCTTACCATTGAGGACATGTTAGGAAATAATCTATTTGCTTTCTCGTCAAGAATTAGATATTTACCACGGTTGGCTATATGTGTGTCTTGGCTGGGCTCAGTGACTGGAGTCAATATTGTGAAACAGCCAGCCAACCAACCAATATAAATTCTTGTAATGTAAAGAACGTTGGCATATAATCACCTGTAAAACCATAGTACTATAATTTTATGACACAGCTTGTTCATTTGTCAGCTTTAGAGGTTCTTGCACAGAGTCAGGCTAGCAGTTTCTCTCTGTTTCCAGTCTTTATGCTAAGCTATGCTAACATGGCTCTAGCATAATTTAGTAATAATAATAATAAGTTAGTTGTACAGGCGCATTGATCTTTTCTATTAATTCTTGATATATCATGTCCTCATTAGCACTATTCTCCCCTTTGAAACATATGCCAATGCATTCACCGCATATAGATTTGTGATTATATTCCCAACAGAGTTGCATCAATCTGCATTATATCAGCTCTATAACACTGTAATAAACAAATAACCTAACAAATAAAAATCTTGGCAGGGCTAGCAGAATAATGAGCTTTAATTGGGGACAATAATAAAGACAAATACATAATAAAGATATGCTTCCTACATTGACTTTATCTAAAATCTATTTGTGTTGGCATGTACAGCACTAGAGTAAAAGCTGCTGCACGGTTGGACATGCTGTATGAAGGTGTCTCACACATATCTACTCAAACAACAACAGCAATGCTCCTATTTCCCCTCAGACACAGCATTATTTGTGGTTTGCAGATTTCAGTTGTGGAAATCATCTTTCCTCTACTTAAGAGAGAGAATATCACCAGAATACCAGGAACCAGTTATTAAAGCAGGTCACTGAATCATTACTATCCCGCAGCCAAGAGATGTAACGACAAAGAGAAATCTGCTGGTTATGTCACGCTTTGACGCAGCAGAATCAGATTGTCCTTATTCATCTGAGTCACGTGGCGTGCGGCTCATTCAAGTCAACTGTGTTTACTTTTCCAGGGCAACAATATTTGACCACACAGAGCTGGTGGAGTACCTAATTTCTTTGGTAAATATGACACACACACACACCTCACAGCAGTTATGCACAGGAAATTCTCAACATTGTCCAGTTTTATCAATCTTAAGTGACATAAAGACGTCAAGACTGAAAATGTGTTTTTAATTGAAGGGCAAATTAAATAGTTTTTGCATCTGCTCCATGGATTGTATATAAAGATGATTGTTGCATCTCCAGTTCCTCGCACTGTGAAAGAAGCAAAAATATCCCAGATATTAATAATGCTGCCAGTTTACGAAATTGGAGCCAGAGTCTGCACAGTAGCGATCGGGGGACGGAGCCATAGTAGCACCTGACCAATCACAAATCAGTCTAAGCTGCCAATCACAATGTTGGCTGTTTTTGGAGCATCAAACACATAATTAAAACCAAACTTTCTGCAAAATATTACCGCCTGAACACAGGGGCGGCGCTAGAAATTTTGGGCCCTGGTGGTCCCACCCACTAACATGGAAGAGATTTATGACCTATATTGCAGCCAGCCACCAGGGGGTGATCAAGCTGATTTTGGCTTTGTCCAATCTTTATATACAGCCTCCAGTCAACTGCATGCTCAATTGCCGCAAGGAAACTATTTGTGATTTCAAACACACCTCTCAGTTCAGTGGAGGTTAATAGCTGAATACCTATTGCTTGCAGACATCTGTCGCCACCTGGTACTCTCTACAGTGCATATATACAGAACTATGTTACTAGGACAACAAAGAACTGGGGTCCAAGTTCATCTCCTGTCAACTCATTCTGTTAGCAAACACTGCAATGCCCAACATATTGACATCACCTGGCACCAAACGCTACCCATCATTCAGTGTCAGCCCTGTAGGAGCTTGGCCTGGTGTTTTACTATACAGGAATAATGTCAAAGTGTTTTTGGCACAAGTAATCCGACAACATCAATAAGGGTTTGTTTATCCTTTAAAATGATAAGTTTAATTTTTAAATAAAGGTTTGAAAGATGGAGCTAGACGGAAAGCCTTTGGGAAATTTATTCAAATTTGGTACAAGCATTCACTGGAACTCAAGGATGAACTGATTCAAGTTTGTTGAAAGAGGTCAAAGGTCAAGGTTGCGGTGGCCTCACAAAACATGGTTCTGTCCCTTGAAGTCTTCCTTGAGGGTAATTCTTATATTTTGACCAGATGTCACTTGGACTCAAAGATGAACTATATGATTTCAGTGGTCAAAGGTCACAGTGACCTCATGTGAGTCTGTAGACTGAAACTGCATGGATTAGCATCTGCATACAACCACAGAGAGGTAGTTCTAATCTTTTAATTTGAAGCCTTGGTCAAGTTATCCTCCATATATGCACCATGTTTCCACTTTTGGAGAGGTGCAGTTGCTGAGCAGATGTGCCCCACCTAGCAAATGATTGGACAACTGCTGTTTAGGGGAGGGGTTTTAGGTAATTATCCCCTGACATACTTAAAAATAATCTTCAAAATTAAAATGCAGCGGAAAGGCCCATTTCATTTCATTTGCTATACATGTCTGACCTTATGCAGTGCATGAATAACTTGATGATGTTGTAATGTTAAGGCTTTAGTTTACTGTCTACTCAGGGTGCAGACCTAAACAGCACTGATTGTAAAGGAAAATCTCCTTTGCTGCTGGCCACGAGCTGTGGAGCATGGAGAACTGTGTCTCTGCTGCTGTCAAAAGGTGAGCCATATTATTGTATTTCACCACAAGTAATGCTGATATAAAAGGCAGGCTGTGCACACTTCTGATTTTATATATTTTCAGGGGCAAATGTAAATGCGACAGACAGATGCGGTTGTAACTTCCTCCACCTGGCCATTCTGCAGCCTAAGGGTCTGAAGAATCTTCCGCAAGAAGTACTGCAGGTACTGTCAGTGTCGTCTGTTTGATATGCATTGTACGCTGCTTAGGTAAAGATGTCATCAAGAGATTGAAATCCAATTTCTGTAATGGTTCGTATAATTTGCCTTGAGCCTCAGCTGCATGTGTTAAAGACCAGCAGATGAGGTTCTTTACACTCTCACTTAGCCAGACGATAGTCCTTTAAGATAATGATAACTTTATCTATAATAATGATACTAATAAGCTATAGTACTGCCAAAGCCCTCAAATGAGCCACAGATAAGGGTGATGTATTTACATTAAATAATTATTTTCAGACAGTGTGTGTATACAGTCTGTATCCCTGTACAAATACCATTACAAAGCTTTATTAGCCTATTTATAAAATGTCAGTGTATGTGTATATGGGTGTGGATGTTTGTATATGCTGTAACTTTAGCTATAAAAGTTTGACATTTATGCTGCATGACTGCTACAGCAGACTCAAGAAGCATTGTTAAATCAACGTTACCGTAAAATGTTCATTATAATGTTTCAATGCAATGGATTTTATAATGTTTTTGAACTCCAGCACAACAGTGTGAAGGCGCTGCTGAGCAGGGAGGACAACGACGGCTGCACCCCGCTCCACTACGCTTGCAGACTGGGTATCCATGACTCAGTAAAGAACATGCTGGGCCTCTCGGGGCAGGTCGGCCTCGCATGCAAGTCCAAGGACAAGAAGTCTGCCTTGCACTTTGCTGCCGAGTGAGTTCAATTGATCCCTGAGGGCATCAGCTTCCCATACCACTGGACTAAACAATACCGATTTTGAGTTGCTTAGACTTTACAAATTTCATCAGAGGAGTAGCAGCGATGTCACTCAGACCAGTGTGGGATGCATGGATCTTCTCTTCCTGTTATTTTGCTTCTTTTCTAATATTCACACCCACAGCAAGTATCGTCCTGTATGACTGTTAAAACTGTGGAGCTGTTATTTTATACATTACTCAGTTTGTTTTTGATAATAGCTTTATTATACGGGAGTGAAGCTACACATCTTCCCTGTCTAAAAAATGAGTGCAGGCCAGTTAGAGACAGACAGGTACGCCAGCCAATCATTTCATAAAGGACTTTGACACACAATCTTCCTTTAGGCCTTAAAGACTTTAAAGACTCATGTTGGTAATTTAATAACAGTTGTCAGATGAAAAATGAGCAGTGTAACCACATTTGAAACCGTCACCTCACTGCTCAGCTGTGAGAAATTTCTGTACTCTTCCTCCTTTTGAAGATTAATTGCCGTGATACACCTATTACACCATGACCCGAAGGAATTGTCACAAGAATAGAATTCAATTAGCATGAAGAAATGCTGCTAATAGTGCGAAATGAGGGGATGTTCGACATTATTGTTATTGATTTTTCTGTCATGTTCCCCCATTTTATTAGAGCTGGAGGACGAATAAAGGCCACACTGCAATATCATACTTTCAGTCATCCACCTGTCTCCACACAAAGTGCTACTGACCTTTCTTAAAAGGTTGGGAGATGAGGAAAGATCATAGTGCAAGATGATACGTCAACTCTCTTCAGGTCTTCTCGCAGCTTGTGGCACCATTTATCACTGACACTCACAAAACTTTTATTCCATATTTTAACTACAGGTTCAAGCCCCGTACCAGCAAACTTGAGTGTCCTTGAGCAATATGCTAATTCACTAAGAGGAAGTGCACTGTCACGGACCCCGACCTTTGGCTTTGGTGTGATGCGGGCACTTTCATTTCCGTTTGAAAAATGTTCTTCTAATTCTGCATCTTCTATTTAAGGTATGGCCGCATCAATACATGTCAACGATTACTGGAGACCATCACAGACTCTCGTTTGCTGAATGAAGGTGACGGTCAAGGCCTGACTCCGCTTCATTTGGCTTCAAGAGGGGGACACATCAAGGTGGTGCAGTTGCTTCTGTGTAAAGGAGCTCTCTTTCAGAGGTAGATCCACAGACAGCCCAAACATCTGTACTGATTCAAACCTGTAGTACTTGCTATTTGCAGTATTCACATCTGTGTTTCCAGTTTACTCATGTGTGACAAAATCCTCTTTACTCACCATTCTACCGTAGATTAGACACATAGGTAGAGATAGCGAGATAGCCTTGCTCAGACCCACTATGCATTATCATCCATGAGAGGGCGCCACTTAGCATTTCCTGGTTTTATACTCTCGGTGATATCATGGATGACATCACTGGAGCAAACCAAGTAAAGGGGTTTTCTTTCTTTTGGAAAGTTTGTTTTTGTGATTTTTAAGCCGCATTAGTCGTTTTTTAATTTATTTCATTTTAAAGAGTAATGCGAAGGAGCTTCAATAGTGGGTAAAATAATGTTAGAAGATATCTGTGCAGAAGGAACACTGCGTCCAGTTACCTGCGCATTATGGTTCAGGCTGAAGGTGTGAATTGAACACATTATATAAACAGCTGCATTCTGCAGACCCAGAGAAGAGGAGAAGCTGTGTTGTGGGGTGTAGCTGGTCTGTAGCTGAAATACTGTTTTGTCTAAGTTACTTGGATATTGGGGAACTCTGGGAATAAAACTATTCACCTGTGAAATAACTAAAAGCCTCGGGAGTCTACCTGCCTGCCATCTTTTTTTTGGCCCTTGAGTCAGACCATCTCCCACTGATTCCTGTTGGATGTTTTTGTCTTGTGTCCAGTGATTATAAGGGTTGGAGCAGTCTGCACCATGCTGCATCTGAAGGATACACACAAACTATGGACATCCTCCTGTCAACCAATCCCAAGTTACTGGATAAAACAGATGACAACGGGGTATGAAATTTTATTTCAAAATAGAAGAGCCCATAATTAACTTTGCACCAAAATGTGATGGCCACTGTTGATGTTTTGTACAGTTCTTTAATATTTAGGTTTTTTAAAAATTGAAGATGTTCAGCAGTTTTAAGCTCAGTCTTCAGGCAGGTCCCTGATAAATACTGTACAAGTGGCAGTGAATAATACAGTCATCACTGTTATTATAAATCCAGTCTGTCTCCTGTTATTAATTGATACACCAGAACACTGCACTGCACATCGCAGCAAAAGAGGGACATGTGGCTGCAGTGAGGATGATGCTGGCTCGGGGAGCGGAGCTCATCTTAAACAAGAACGACACTTCGTTCCTGCATGAAGCGCTTCAAAATGGCAAGAAAGATGTGGTCAATGCGGTAATCGACAGTGACAGGTAAGTAATTAATACAGCAGAACTGCAGTAGCCTAAAGTTCAGTCCCAAAGAAATTGGACTGCATTTATCCAACGATGATGTTCACGAAAACCATGTAATTGAGTTAACACCAACTTTTCTGTCAGTTGCCCCCCCCCCCTTAGAAAAAGCCAAAAAGACCACATTTTGATTTACATTGATTTCAGGTTCTTGGAGAAGTCGTGTCAATTGATGTCAGGAGTTTTTTTGATTTCTTTATTTCTTCCTCCAGATGTGCTGAGGCATTAATAATGTTTGCACCTGGCACAAGTCAGAGATGTCCCATACTAGACATGATTGAGTTCCTGCCTGAGACCTACAAGGTTTGCTGCTGACAACACATTAGTATCGTACATCTGATTGAACAATGATCATCTTAATTGTATCTGTAGCTCACTACTGTGTCACTCTGCACCATCTCTCACTGTGCTTTTGTATTCTCCTCAATAGTACCTGTTGGACGGCTGTGTTAAGGAATCTGACAATGACTACAACAGTCCTGACTACCACGTAATCATCACAACAACATCACACATCCACACATATCTTATATACATATATACAAGCAAAACAAATTAACAGTTTTAACTTCATGTGGTGTAGATTGAATATAATTTCAGATGGCTTCAAGCTCCCCTCACAGCAAAGAAGCATGTTGACAATTCCGTGAGGTGCAAACCACTGGCTGCACTCAATGTAAGCAACTTTTTTTTATATGCAAATATGTAGTCCCTTGTTGGTTTGTAACCAATACTGCAGCTAATCACCAAGGGGCCACCAGGATTATTTAGTGTCACTTTTCAGAGAGATATCATGTCGTTCATCTTTATATAAAGTCTATGGTCGAGGCCCACTGCCTGGTTCAGAGTGTAGTCCAGTCTTTCGCCGGCCTAGGTGAGAATAAGATTTGAAATGTGTAACAGCTCTCCATTATGTGTAAACATGTTCATGGACATGCTGCTAAGTGTTTTCTAAATTTCAACAATTTCTTTTTCCTTTGTCAACCTTATTTGATATATTCCAAATGTTAGAAGTAGTTCATTGCCCGACAATGTAGACAGTTTTCATTTTAATAGCCTTTATGTTTCAGGCTGTTCTTTCCTTCCATTATAAGCGGGCCATTTTTTTCTGTTCCTCTTTCTTCAGGCGATGGTGCAGTACAACCGGCTCGAGCTTCTCGAACACCCTGTCAGCAAAAAGTACCTGGCGATGAAGTGGTCTGTGTAAACCCCCAGAGAGTGTTTCAATCATATTGACTGATTCTCTCTACTCAACTATTTATGCATTATTTACTTTTAATATCGCTCTTCTAACTGATGTTTGTTTTAATCCACAGGCTTGCATATGGGAGCAAGGCTCATTTGCTCAACATGTTTGTGTACCTGTTAGGCCTGCTGCCCCTCACTCAACTGATAGTGACTCTGAGGCCCAGCATGAACACCACTAGCACAGGGGAGCAAATTATCCTCATGGTGCCTGTTTCTTTCAAAGAGGTACTCTTGACTGTACTGATCGGAATTCAATTACAGCTCACACGTAGGCCTTGTATTAAAGATAAACGATTCATGTGCCTTTAAGGCAGTCCCTCTAGATAAAGTAAATCTCAGTTGTCACTTCACAGCAAAGTGTGTATCTGTCCTTCTGTATGGTGATGGTCGTGGCCATGAACATCTACTGCATCGTGAAGGAAGTGGTGCAGATATCACAACAGGTACAGTGACACAAAAAAAAATGTCATTAGCTCACATAAAGCTTGTGCTCATAAATATGGCCGAGCAGCGGGTCTGTATGGACACAGTAGCGATCAGGTGTGACGGATGAGTGCCCGGTGATTTAGATCTGCAGGATAACTGGCTGACAGCAGTCACAGTGTCACCTCCACACTTGGTCATTTTGATTAGAGCTGTAAGAAACACTGTCACCTCACATTATACGTCCCGTAATATACAGTTAAAGTGTTTTTCAATGGCTTCAGAGGTCAAGGATATTCTCTGTATACAGTTGTTTTATTTGTCATATTATTTTGTTTTTCTTTTCTTAAAAGCGCTGGAATTACTTGAAAGATTCGTCCAACCACAGCGACTGGTTTTCAGCCATCTTCTCTCTGTTGTTCATAATCCCCATCATGGTCAACATGGAAGGTTCTTTACACTGGCAAGCAGGGGCGCTAGCTGTCTTAAACTCATGGATTGGATTTCTCCTTTATCTCCAGAGGTAACATCACTCTAACTACATTTTCATTATCCTGTGTTTTTTTCAGAAAAACACATTTAACCTCCTGTTTCTTAAGGTTTGAGGGCGTTGGAATCTATGTTGTGATGTTTGGAGAGATCCTGAAGACGCTGGTCCGCATCGTGATGTTGTTCATATTTCTGGTGTGCGCTTTTGGACTAGCATTCCATGCACTGATGCTCAACCAGGTGAGAAAAAAAACTTTAAGCTCAGCAAATGCTATTTTTAACCCATTGATTGTTAAAATGTTGTTATTGGTCAAAGTTAGTTTGTTGCTTTTCACTTTCTTTCAATTTATTTTAAATTAACGTGCAAAGTTTTTTGTTCGATCTGTGCAAAAAGCAAAATAGTAGTTTTACGTGGAGATGGAGCTGGTCCACTGTCTCAAAGTTATAAGATCACAAAAACCAAACATAATCCTCCTCTTCATAGCATGAATACTCACTACAAATATCACAATTATTCGGCCAAAGTTGTGTGAATATACTGCTTTGTATTCACTGACTTAACTAAAACATTAAATTTGGCATGTGGGTACCAAGTCAATACATATTTTATTACGATATCAAGTACAATGCATGATGTCGTGTATCTCTTAACTCTGTGAGATACATTTCCCTGTCCCTCTCAGAAAGAGTTTGACAGCGTGGAGCTCTCAGTGATGCAGACCTTTGTGATGATGGTCGGGGAGCTGAACTACCAAAACAACTTTCTGGAAGCTTACATGAACAACGAGCTTCCCTTCGGTCCGCTGACTTACTTAATTTTTGTGCAATTTGTGCTGCTCATGCCCATACTGCTGATGAACCTGATGGTAAGTGTGTCCCTACATTTCACAGTATGTCATGAAGCTACATGTGTGATGTATTGATTAAGGAAGATATGAATCATGTTCAGGTGTTTGACAACATTTTCACTGGTGATGTGGAATCTGCTTCTCGTGTAAATACTTATTTTATGTTGAACTTTCATGGTAGTGTCATAGATTCCTTTGTTGTTAAGTACATTCCACAGGTGCACTCACACATAACAGACAATAATTGAATAAGTGCAAACCATACTGATTAAAGTGCAAGATCCATATATTATATCTATAATATATGTATATATATACATTATATATACTAGATGGTTCTTATTTGTCTTTGATTGCATTGTAGATTGGTTTAGCAGTTGGAGACATCGCTGAAGTACAAAGAAATGCTGTCTTGAAAAGAATAGCCATGCAGGTATGTATAAAACCTACTGAACAGATTTCCATGAAATTTCAACAAGCTGTGGGGCAAGACCCAAGGAAGAACATTTTGAATATCGTTGTGGATCTGAATCAGTGGGTAGATACAAGTTATCATTTACTTTCAATTTGGAATGAGACATTTTTAACATGTTCGTTGCTTTTTTAGAGGATAATTCATGAATCCTGATTACAAAAATTAGGCATTTTTATGAGTGTGTGCAATTGGGTGCAGAGCCAAAATGAAATGTGACTGTTGGGCCATGATGGAGGTATGTGCACTCTTAGTGCCATTCTAGTTTAAATACATCATGACTTCGCAGATGAAAGAAGACATCACATCTTTTATCCTGCTTTCTCTGTGCTTGCTCAGCCTGCTGTGTTTATCCATGATGGACAGCCCATGAAATTTGAAAGGAAAAGCTAAAACACAAGCAGACTAGATATTGTGTTTCTCTGGAAGCCCTCTAACACCTTAACTTGGAGCAGAGACACTAAAATGCAAGATGAGACTGATTAAGACATAAATTCAAAATATGTTGCAAAACCCAACTATAGCGTCACAGATATTCAGATTGTAATACAAGATGAAGATGGTTTAATGGTAAGAAGCGACTGATATGACAGATTTGCTTTGTTGACCCTAGATTGAACTCCACACTGCTCTGGAAGATAAGCTCCCTTACTGGTTCATGAAACGAGTCGACAAACCCTCCATAACCATCTACCCCAACCGCAAGTGCTCCAGGGTATTCTCCGAACACATGCTGTGCAACATATTGTTTTGTCTCTGTAACTTGTGTATGCCAGTAAGATTTCCCCCTTCATTAACCCTATCCATCTTTTTTGTTTTATAGCGCTATATACAGCAGTTGTTTATAGGCAGTGAGGAGTCAGTTGAAGTTTCGAGTCGTGTGCAGGCCAAGTCACAGAGCTGCACCATGATCGAGAACGAGCTAAGGAAGCAGAAGAGCAGGTAAAGCACACAGTGGGACACACATGATATTACAGTGTGTTCTTCAATACATTGATTCATACAATTTAAAATTACCTTTGCGATTATAGATAATGGATACATTGAATTAGTTAAAGGCAACTAAAATGGCTCATGATCTCATGCATAGGTGAAAAGTCACTGTGCTAAAGTGCAATTAATGCTTGTTCTTGATGCATGAGCAGCCCCTAGTGGATTTAAAGAAACAAAGACTGTGGCCAGGTCAAAGAAAGATGTGCCCCTTTTCTCTGATGAGCTTATGGAACCAGTCAGGAGCATCAGCCTCTCAAAGCCTGAACATGATTCTACAAAAATAAAGGTCTGCCACTGAGTTACACAAACCCTGGTTCTCCTCTGCAGGATGAAAGAGATGTCGAGCCTGCTGGAGAAGCAGTACAGCCTCCTGAAGCTCGTCATCCAGAAGATGGAGATCACCACGGAGGCTGACGAGAACGACGGCCCCACGAACGTCAAAGCCAGCAGGTGGCCGAGTCTGAGTCGGTCTGGGCCGAGAGGACACACCGTGTCTCGCTGGGTCCCGCTGATGAAGGCCATTGAGTGTGATAGAAAATAAAAATGATGATACAGAAACATTATATAACCCTACAAAGTGAAATATCACCACATTATGCAGGTAATCATGGCATTATTACATGACTCCTGCAAAATGTTGTTCTGTTAACTTTAACGATAGCCTTTATGAAGCTTAGATTCATCTAATAGTTAAATATATATACAACTGCAATTAACTGTTGTGTGTTTTTTCAGGAATTAGAGGTTAAAGACTAAATACTGTTGCACATAAAGTTATGGTCATAGTCGTGTTCTAGGAAATTACATAATACATTATCTTATTAACTTTTACCTGTGACTGGTGAATTTAAACCCTTAGTGGTGTGGATGCAGTGTTGCCATTCGTACATCTTACATATGCCTTTCTTTGAAATATGTGCTTCTTCATCTATTGAATATAATGTGTCACCACCTCCGTGACAGTTTTCATCAAATTTTTAATTTGCGAGTTGAAACAGACTTTCAACTCAGGCATAATTAATGGCTGCAATAAGAGCTTGAAGGAAAATCTCCCATGTTTTGGTTTGTTGGTGCTGTGGCAAACTTCACTGCAAAATTATGATTCACATCAAATCTCTACATGAAGGTGAATCTCACAAAGGCAATATTTTCAATTGAGTCTTTCAAAACTTTCAAATATTTTTTTTTGAAAAAGAATATTCTATTTAGGAGTCCAGTCTAGTGCCTGACAAGAACCTTTCCTGCAGCTTGAAACATGATGTGATCTGCCGGTTCAGGGATTCCGTGTAAAATGATGTGAATATTTTCAAACCTTTTACTCACTTGAAACACATATTTTGGTGAAGACATAGCTCTGAGTGAATCCCATGTCAATTATTATTTATTAAACTTCCATTAAGTGCAGCTTCCTGAATCTGGTTAACATTCATTTGTGGTGTCTTGTAAGCCACAAACATCATAGTTGGGTTTGCATGAGACAATAATAATTTAACAACATAACTTTGAATTTATATTTGCCTATGATTTGTACAGTGCCTGCTGTGGCCTCACACTTATCATGTGGCCATAATGGAGATCATCGGAAGTTGTGAGAGAAACAGACAAGGGCCTCTGACATCATGAGCGTGCACCTGTCCCTCTGCTTCTCCAGCACCGGGCCCCAGTGGAGGTCGCGACCCCTGAAAGTCTTTTGCTGATAGACAAATGCTGGCTCTCCCTTCAAGTCAGGTCTCAAGTGATATTTATTACTGTTGGCCCTGAATGTAATAATTCCCAGGGCAAATACAATAACCATGTAACCATCAATTACACTGATGTTTAGGACAATATTTTTTGCTTTTACTCCAGAGTCTGGAGAATGACTAATGAGCCGAGTCTTTCATGTCAACCTGCCTCTGTTTGGCAGTGAATGAAGCAGCAGGTTGGAATATGTCACAGAGCCAATGCTTTTTTATGTCATGTAAAAAAAAAAAAAAAAGACAGTTTATCAACGTAGGAGTAAATCCGGCAGCAGAATCCCTTCGCTTGCACCTCTGAGTGTCTCCCTCGGGCCGGTCACCTTGCTGACTGATGCATTGACGGCGGATAGAGATGGCAGCCTGCCTGGACCAAGGCTAAGCTAAGAGCAGGGATCCCTCAAAGGGTCCAGCTGATTTTGTGAAAGTGGCCTAAGAGCAGGGTTGTGGGAAGCATGGGAATGTGTCCTTGGATTAAGGAGCATTCTTGGTCGAGGAGAGACGGAAATCTGAGCAGATGAAAACCACAGAGCGCTTTAAAATCCCAGCAAAATGCAACCCTGACGGCTGATGCTGAAAAACAGAATTGGAACATCATTAGAAACCAATGATATTGTAGAATAGCACTTCAAGAGCACATATTGTCTGCACAAGGCCCAACAGTCAACTTCTATTCAGGCATATTCACCAAACTGCACACTCATCGATATCAGCTCCCTAAATATGATTTATTTCCTTTTTTCTTTAATAAAAACGCTTGATATCGCAATGTCAAAGAAAGGGAAAAAATAATCCTGGATCTGATATCTGATCCAAATCCCTACCAGAATGTAATGGTCCATACAGCATTCTCCCACCAAATGACCTGGTTATCCATCCAGTAGATTTTGTTTGATACTGTTGAATTACAGATAAACAAACAAATGTGGATGGATATTTAACGACTGAGCATATTAGCATATAAGTGAGATGCTTTAAATCACAGAGCATTCAGCCCAGTGCAGAGCAGAGCAATAATTCCCCCCTCCAGTGACCCTGGCATGGCCAGCTACCAAAAATCAAGCATGCATCTCAGCTGCAGTTAGGTAATCCTTGGCAGAGTCTTGCTATTGTCATAAAAATATCTTAATTTCACACATATTATATGGAGTAATGGCTAACAGGGGCCTGGGGTCTTCTGGGAACATCTATGGATTCCTGTAAACGCTGTATGGATGCAGAACTTTCCAGTCATTCAGAGAAAAGGCAGCTCCCACGCATCCAAACTCCAGTTTTTTACCCCCACAGCTTGCCTCGCATTGCAATACCCGCTGTGTTTTATTTTGTGCAATTCACAAATCTGAGAGACTGCATCTGATATTCTGTCTGAAGGGTAGAGTGTTTAGAACAACAAATACGCAGCATTTCTCTCTCAGCTCTCATATCTCTGCAAACACACGGTGCAACTCTGCTGCTTCCTCCTAGGCCTGGAGCAATCTCATCTTCTTCTTCTCCACTCCCTTCTGTTTGCTGTAGATCTCAATCCACAGTAGAATATAACTCGCTCTTATTGCTACTGGGTGATACTCTCAGAAAACTTTGGTGGACACAAAACAAATGCAGGAAAAAGTAAGGGAAAAAACTTCTATGGGAACGGGGATGGTTCCTCCTCGTCCCTCTGCCACACCCTTGTCATGCCAACGCTCCAGATGTCATGGGAACCGATAACAGCTGGGCCTGGTGCGCTCGGGCTGCGTGTGAAAAGCTGCTCCATCTGCAGAAACCCAATCCTTCTGTGAAACCAGCAGAGGATTAGGTACTTTTGATAAGGTCCTCCAGACATCTTTATTAACGAAACACATCTGTGGGACCGACAAACCTGGGAAGTGTTTACACAGTGTGTGCATTTCCAAAATGTTGCCATGGGTTGTGTGTATTATCATCAGAAAGAGTTATGCCCCTCTGTGGAACAACATTAGAAGGGATTATTGTTCCTGTTTGGAATAATCAATCCTCAGACATCCATAGAGTCACCAATAATGAAGCATTCATTAACAGGGATTAGAGCAATAGTCAAGTTGCAGATGAGGACAGTGGTGTTTCTGAGGTAATGGTGGCTTTGGAGAAAAAAGTGGGAGGAGAAATGTCCCACACACAAAAAAACTGTACACATGCCAAGTCCAGGACACTTAAATTAGAGGGGTGGCAAAGCAATGAGGCATGTTTGAGTGTTATTTTCAGACGTGACCTCATACAGTTGTAGTCCTGTCAAGTTGTGCCATTTTGGAACTTCAGGCTGAAATAAGTGGGACACACTGCTGACTTGAAAACTTTTTCAATTTACTCAAATATTGCATCAAGCTGAAAGTCAAACATTCAAGAAGTGCCCAGAGGTGCCACTCCTGTCCGCCTCCAGGGCGCAGGTGGAGCAGCCATGTCCACTGGCTCCGCAGCGAGCGACCCTGAGGACTATGAGACGTGTTACAGAAGAGGCGCAGACCCTCTGGGGAGGGCTGTGAGGAAAACTACCTGCTACAACCCTCACCCATACTCGGACGAGGAGCCGGAGGACAAGCAGGAGCGCAGGGTCTCCAGGGCGCACCAGAGGGAGGCGCGACAGACGCAGAGAAACGCGGCCAACGCCAGGGAGAGGGCGCGGATGCGAGTGCTGAGCAAAGCTTTCTCCAGGCTAAAAACCAGCCTGCCCTGGGTACCGGCGGACACCAAGCTGTCCAAACTGGACACGCTGCGACTCGCCTCTAGCTACATATCTCACCTGAGGCAGCTCCTGCAGGAGGACCGCTTCGAGAACAGCTTTGCGCGCCCAGTCAGTCTGGTAGGAGGATACAACTTTGTCTATTCGATTTGATTTCAATTATTATTATTCCCAACATAGCAAGCATGCAGATTGAGAACGTGAAATGACTGTTTTAAAGTGAAAAAGAAGTGATATCTCTACAGATCCGTTTCACAAAAATTGGAAATCGGAAATGACCACTGTGTTTTGGTGTTTGTGGAGAGTTGTTTTGACTGATGAACCTGTTGTGTTCTGCTTTGACAGACGTGGCCCTTCATGATGACAGTCCGCTCAGAGGACCAGGACATCTCCACTTCTGCTGTTAGACTTTGTGGAGCTACAGCGTAGAGACTCTGGGAGCTGGAGTGAGAGGAGATGATACAGAAACATCCAGTTCTCTGCCATCTTTGAAAATACTGCTCCTGTGGCCTGTGTGCATGTGTGGCCCAGTGCACTGAACTCTGGAACTTTATTTTGTTGAGCATGTTTACAATGAGTGTGTAACCTCGTGTCTTCATTTACATTTGATTTGTAAATTCTGGATTTGGGTTGTATGCCGTTTATTATTAGAAAGTATATTTCTGCAGATCTGTGTGTTCCCATCCTGTGTGTGATGTACAATAGAAGTTTTTGTATTCCCGTATTTTTGACAGGTATTTGAGTGCAGTTAAGTATGTCCTGTTTTGCTATTAGATTTGAACATATCGAGCACCATAAGGCCCTCATGTGCAGCAGTGATGGATCTATTTATTGTGTTTTATGCTTTAAAATGTTTGCTTTTCAGATAAAAGTTTGGTAACACTGATCACCCATGTTTTTCCTGCTCTTAAACTTAGAGTTTCTTTATTTTCCCATTTAGCATCATGTGTTTACATCCTGCATACATCAAACTGTCTGAGTCACAGGGCGCAGGATGTGATGTGATTGGAAATGAACAGTCTTCAGCTCCATGATCCTTGATGGTTTAAATTAAATGTGGCCAATAGCTGCATCATTCATATGCAATGAAATAAAATTGGCTTTTTGTTATTTGTTCACTTTGAGGCTTATTCTTCACTGCATAAGCTTATGTTCATTTTTCTTCACTTAAAAAGTGCACTTATATATACATATATATATATATATATATATAGCGAGTATATATACTTATAATAGTACCACACACACCATTGTGATATTTAAATGTTGTTGACTTGAAATTCATGGCTTTAAGGAAACACAAAACCTAAATAAGTTGAAAATAAAATATAAAGCAACAGCCACAAAAACTGGGGAAAAGTTCAGGGTAAAGCTGAAGTTCTCTCTCACACACACACACACACACAAACACACACACACATTGTGCGTGCACAGTCACACACTCAAGAACATTTGCACACGTCTGACTGACAAAGAGAGAGTGGCTGTGACAGTGATCTCTTGACCTGTAGGAGTCCTTTAATGCAGTTAAACCCCAAAATGATGTGAGTACAGATGGATGGAAATCCAGGGCTGGCCAGTCTGGTGGGACAGACCAACAAAGTGCTTCAGAAGCAGACGAAGAGAGGAGAGGACGAGTTTTCATCAGGTTCATGTGGAGCTGCAGCTGTCGGTGTGTTGGTGAGTTTCCCAGAACTCTGAAGCGCTCTCCTGGGACAAAGCAGCCACTCTGCTGGAGCAGGACAGCTAATGAGCTGCCTTCTCACACTCAGTCTCAGCTCCTCTCCGCTGCCATCCACTTCCGATGAGGCACCTGGGGAAAGCTACTTGCAAATGTCCAACGTGCATCTTGACTGCGTCCAAAATGAGGCCCCATAAATCAAAAGGTGGCATGTCAGCAACATGATGGAGTTGGGGACTGGCTCTGCTGCAGTTAGTTGATCCCAACTTTCAGATCTCAGACGTTTTACAAATGAAGCCATAAAACCAAAAGTAGTTTGTGCCAATTTGTGCCAAGGCCGACATCAAACACTGCTGCAAAGCAGCACAGTTCTGCTGTGGCCACTTCATCTCACCTCTTGCAGTTGATGATGATACATGAGTGGCATCTAGTGGTGAGGAATGTGAACACATGGAGCAGCTGACCCAAGAGGACTTTAAAATAACATCCAACGCTCTGTGTCTCTTCTTCTTTATGTGGAAATAGACTCTATGGATATCAAGTGTGACCCTGCAGTGACAAATTAAAGGTAATTATCAGTGTTGCTGAGTTACAATTACATCCCAACCAAGTGCTGGTGCAGCACTGAATATCATTGTTTATGTCATTCTTTAAGACACTAAGAGTGTTGAGGCTGTAAAACTCACAAATATTGTTATGATCAATTTAATTATAATTTTACTGTATAAAACTTTATTTTAAGTAAGTAAATACTTTGAACTGGGACTGGGCGTGATACTAATGCAACAAGCTACATGCTACACTTGAAACAAGTGTGCTGATGTTTCACGCTACAGAATTTGCACTTGCTTTAATATAAAGAGACATCATGATTAGTAGTGTATGATTCTACAGGTGGAGACATCGTGATGTTAATTGAAATAAGATGCTAATTATTATATATATATATATATATAAACCTATTATTATTATTAGTAGGAGTAGTGGTAGTAGTTTTGTTGTTGTTGTTGTTGTTGTTTTTATTGTTATTATTACATCATGACAGGTCAGAATATCACAATTTGAGCCCTTAATGAACATCTTGATTTTCAAGAACCATGACCCATTGTGTCCAGCAGAGGTCACCATATCTTCACTGTGGACATTGGGCAACATGGTCACAACAGAGTGAAGCACTTTCCTGGCAACATGACGTCTGTATGATCACCTAATGTGACTTACTCAACACACTCTCTTTAAACAAATACATGAGTATTGATGTTTATCTAAAAGATGTTCCAACAACAGTGTATCCGCCCGTTTGCTTCTTGTGGGATTTTTACATGATTATAGTTTAGTTTTTTTTAAAAATCATAATTTCCTTTTTCTCCATCTTTTTCAACGAACATTTTCAGATATTAAATTAGAGGACGCTGGACATTTCTTTGATATAGAATCATATTACCAGCCGTCGAAGGTCAGCTCAGTTAAACCTTCTTTGGACTTGGGACAACTGAAGCAATTTTCATTTGTGGAAGAATTTCCCTGAACAGGAAGATATTACAGATCCAAAGCCAACATCAGGGAAAGCTTCAGAAACACTAACTATAGGCCTTACCGCCTCGGAGCTTCCCAAACCCACTTCTGACATGTTCGTTATTCAATATCCAGTCACTCAATACTACTAATGAGTAAAAGGATATGCAAATCCCAAAGTATTTTAATCAAGTTGGCCTAATGCATATATTTCCTCATGAGGAGATTAGTTCCTCTCCAGAGTCCAGGCTTTGTTTAGAAAATGCATTCTTTCCAGGTATGAAAATGTTGACCCCCAAACTCCAAGCTGTCGTCCTAAAATAGACATTTAAAGTAACGGAGGAGGTGTTGCTTTTCTGGAACATGCTGTGATTGTGATCGTTTTGCAACATGGATGTGGGGATGTTGTGTTTTGATAACAGGCAACAATCAGTGGAACATGAACAAGAATGTGCCCATGAACTCAGTTTAAGGAAACATGCAACAGATCCAAAGCTGGACTTGGATTGAAGGAAGTATTCATCCATCCATCACCCACTATTGCTTATCAATAGGTTGCCAGCGTATCACAGGGCGGACATACACAGTTGCCACTTACATGCATGTAGCTGCACACAAAGGTTAACCACCATTGTTCATGTGCGTGTATGTGTGTGTGTGCGCGCAAGTACATCTGTCTGAGTATTTATACACTTATTCTTTTTAAGCACATCATGTTAAATCTATGTAGATTTCAACTTTTTGCTGTTATAGAGTGGAAGAAGTTTTTTGTCTCATCTGTATTTTCACTGATGCTACATCCTGTGTGTGTGTGTGTGCGTGTGTGTGTGCGTGTGTGTGTGTGTGTGTGTGTGTTTGTCTATGGCGTACAGGATTGACTCATATCAGGCTTCAGCTACACAGTTATCACATTTTAGAAAGTTTGATTTCTTGTTTTTTGGCCTTTTAATTGGATTTTGAATACAAACAATACAGTGTATTTTCCAAACTATCTACCTGTTATATCTGATATATTAATCAGGCGATCATTACAAAGTAAACATCCATGTCAGGTATTAAAAATGCCTCCAAAATCAAAATGTCTTGCTGTTTCGTCCGTGATTTTGTTGCTTTGTGTTTTTAAGCGTAATCCATGTGTGTGAGTGAGAGAGAGACGGAGGCAAAGACACTTCCTGTTCCTCTGTGGAGATGACACACTCCTCTGTTAGATAGGTGATTGGGTTACAGTGCGGGACTGGCAGCCTCCTCTCAGGAGAGAATGGAGGCTTTTTGTGGCAGGATGAGCTGGACACTCTGAAAGGGAAGGTCGAGCCAAACGGAGACGAGGAGGAGAGGAAGACGACGGGAAGGGAAGATGCATAAATTGCCGTGGACGGGTGAGGACGCCGCGAGGTGGGGAGGGCTGACGAAACAACATCCTCACATGCGCCCCCCCGGCCTCTTCCTCCATTGTCTCCTGAACTGGGAGACAGGTGAATATCTCTACCTCTGTTGGTTGGAGATGGAGCTGAACTACTTGGGTGGTGTCCTGCTTGCCCGAGAGAAACCGATCTTAGCGTTTGCTCTCGGGGCATGTGGAGCTATCCGGGCCCTGTTTACAAGCACTGGGCGGTGGTCCTCTGGCCTATTATCATGTTCTCGCCTTTCTGTCTCCCGCAGAAAGACATTCACACCAGCAGTGTACTTTCACCCGGCTTGTTTCACACACACACTGACTACATGTTTCCCTTTTGTCTACGTGTGGTGTGCTCTTGCAGGTATGCAAACACACATATGTACGCACAAAGGTTAGGAATTGTGTCATCTGTGTCCCAGTGAGTGGACATCTGTCGAGACATTAAAAAAAATATACAAAAAATAATTCAAATTGATATCCAAGTAAAATGGATTTTTGTTGAAAGCATTCTTCATTTAAATCACATGAATAATATTAGGTAAAACTTTGAGATATCAGATTAATGATTGAAAGAGGATTATCAATATTTATTTATTTTGGAATGAACTCCTGCACACTGTCTTACTTCGGGACGTTTGTTCCACTTGCTTTCCTGTGACTTAATAGATGTGCGAAAGGATTTTTCTGTTCTGATTTATTTATTTAAAATATCACTTCATTCAGTTTCGTTAAACTCAATGAAAATCTCAACACAAACTGATACTTGGACTCCGGCCTGTATGTTTCACCTGAATTAGGTCAGAAGAACTTGTTTTGAGACACGGTTTCAAACTCAAAAAGAGCCGGTTCCACCGCTGTTCCAATCCCCCCCCTCAGGTGCCACATTCTGCCCAAGTTCATCTTCTGACATTACAAAGACGGCCACAACCTGACAATGGAGATAATATTTTCCCTTCACAATGGCTCTCAGTCTCTGCTCTGGGGCGAAGGCTCAGTCGCTGTAAGTAACCTGGGTTTTCCCATCCCTGTCAGACGGCGGCCCAGCCCAGTGGAGAAATGAGTCCCCAGGTTGCTTGAAGGCCCAACCTGTCAGCGGTCCAGAGGGATTAGCCATTCACAGCCTCCATATTGTTCTCCGGGCCACAAGGGCTGCATGGGGCTCGGCCCTTTGTCATCAACTCTGTTGTGAACTTCTAGTGGGGCAACAAAAGTGTAACACACCTGCAACTGTGGATTAGAAGTTTTTTTTCTTCTCTCTTGTCTTTTTTGTCTTTCTTTTCTGACACATTGCCCGTGGCAGAGTTGGCCACATCAAAAGTGCTTTCACACAAAAAAGAAACGAGAAAAAACTGTCTTTCCTTGGTAACGCCCAGAGCAATG